ATTTCCAAAACCCTATGGAACAAATGCATTGCTTTTGAGGAAGGAACCGGAAGTGCTAAACATGCTGTGGGGCAGAATCTCTGCTCCGCGCCGTTCCTATATGAGCGGGTTCTCAAAAGAAGGAAAAATTCAAAGCAGCCAGGATAAGGGTTAAAAAATAATCTGCTTTAATCAGTGATGCAAACACAGGTATGGTGAAAAAAGAGAGAACTATTCGAAGCAGAAAAAAACAGCGTAATATACCATCTGACAATGACAGATTTTTCTTTTGGGATATTTTACAAATCACTCCCCTTTCAAACTCTATTCTTGTTATTTTTAACAACTTTCTTTTGTTACTGTCATATAGTATTTTTTACCTGTTAATAATTGAGTCTCTAATGTCTCATTAATAACTATAATGATCATATCAAGGTGTGCGTTAACCTCACTGAGCTGAGGTTATTTGAGCCTCTCAGGAGAGAGCTCTCTTCCACCTGGTTGTAGAAAAGCTCTTTAAATTCGTTAGCATAGCTAGCTAACCAGATGCTAATAACAACAGATCGCCACTGTGCTTACAACTAAAGACACAGCCTCGCAAACACTGCGGTGTGTACGGCTCCTTATGGGTACTGCAATATTTGAAGAGCTGGAGCAGCGTTCCGATGCTCTCCGTTACTCCTTTCAGACGAGACATAACCACGTGAAGACCTATGGTGAAGACACGTTACGCCCGTGTTGTGTTCAATGAACCTGTCCTTGGCCAGGAAAAACAGGCACTCGCTTGTTTAATTATTTTGCGATCTAGATTTCTTCTTCTTTTTTGAAGTGAGAAGTTGTCCGTCGGACGGACTGACGGACCCCCCCCCACCCAAAACGAAAACTATTTGGTTCTCCACGAATTACACAAGTCACCCAAATCAGCGTTAAAAAAGCGGGAGGCGCCGAAAACCGACATCACTGTTTATAAATGTTTTTGGTTTCGTTAGTGTGGGCATGTGCGGGTGGAGGGAGGGAGGGGGGAGTGTAGTGAGTGTACTGTGATATTACAATCTATGAAATGGCATCGATTATTTTACACTATAATGAAATAAAAAGACTTGTCACACAGGCAGTCTCCACGTTCTGTCGTCTTGTTCCAGTCAATAAAGTTAATTGAACGGAATGTTTTACCTCTTCTTTGTGTTGTGTCTCTTCTTTCCCAGCATGCTTTGCTTTCTTCACCTCCTCTTTCTCAGCTCTCCTCGTCTTCCTCCCTGCAGTTTCTTCCTCTTCCTCCGCCGTCACCTTCTTCTTCTTCTTCACCTCCTCGTCCTCCCTCTTCCTCTTCGTCCCGTGTCCTTCCTTCTCCTCTTCCTCCTTCTTCTCTTTCGTCCTCGTCTTCTTCACCTCGCTGCCATCTTGTTTGGGTTTCTTCTCTTCCGTCGATCTCGTCTTCCTCCCTCCTGTCTCCTCTTCCTCCTTTCCCGTCACCTTCTTCTTCACCTCCTCTTCCTCCCTAGTCACCTTCTTCACCTCCTCTTCCTCCCTTTCTCTCGACCTCGTCTTCCTCCCTGCAGTCTCCTCTTCCGTCACCTTCTTCTTCACCTCCTCCTCTTCCTCCTTTTCTGTCGACTTCGTCTCTCTCCTCGTCTTCTTTGCCTCGCTGCCATCTTGTTTTGGTTTCTTCTCCTCCGTCACCTTCGTCTTCTTCACCTCCTCTTCCTCCCCCTTTTCTGTTGACCTCGTCTTCCTCCCTGCAGTCTCCTCTTCCTCCTCAGTCACCTTCTTCTTCCTCACCTCCTCTTCTTCCTTCTCCTCTACTCTTTCTCTGGATCTCGTCTCTCTCCTCGTCTTCCTCACCTCGCCACCATCTCGTTTGGGGGTCTTGTCCTCTTCCTCCTCTGTCACCTTCTTCACCTCCTCTGTCACCTTCTTCACCTCCTCTTCCTCCTCTGTCACCTTCTTCACCTCCTCTGTCACCTTCTTCACCTCCTCTTCCTCCCTCGTCTTCTTCACCTCCTCTTGTTCCCTCGTCTTCTTCACCCCCTCTTCCTCCTCTGTCACCTTCTTCACCTCCTCTGTCCCCTTCTTCACCTCCTCTTCCTCCTCTGTCACCTTCTTCACCTCCTCTGCCACCTTCTTCACCTCCTCTTCCTCCCTCGTCTCTCTCCTCGTCTTCCTCACCTCGCCACCATCTTGTTTGGGGGTCTTCTCCTCTTTCTCCTCCTTTTCTTTTGATCTTGTCTTTCTCCTCGTCTTCCTCCCTGCAGTCTCCTCTTCCTCCTCAGTCACCTTCTTCTTCCTCACCTCCTCTTCTCCCTTCTCCTCTACTCTTTCTCTGGATCTCGTC